AGATATCCGTCTTCTGGGTTGTTGCGCTGTGTAGTCTGGTCGATGTTAACCAGCGTTTCAGAGGTCATACTGCCTCCGTCATCGCCCTGATGACGGAGGCAGTATGACCTCTGAAACGCTGGTTAACATCGACCAGACTACACAGCGCAACAACCCAGAAGACGGATATCTTCATACTCACCGCTGTGAGAACCTCAAGTCTTACAATAGTCCCTAAGTTCGCTATTGTAATTGACGAAGGCGCTATAGGCGGAAGGGCCGATAAGGTGTTCTTCGCATAAACTACAGCGTAAAGAAGTCCAAAATAGCGGAAACGCTGCAATGTGCATGTTCACCTTAATTGGTTCTGTAACTTTGTTCGTTGGGTGTTAATTTGGTATGTATATTATTACATGTTGGTATTGCAGGTGATCACAAAATTGACATTCAGTGCACGTCTGAGAGATAATGTTGGATTCTCCCACTACATATCTGAGCTGATTATTGGCTATCATCCACTAACTTTGTACCAAGATTTATTAATCAGACAATCCGTAGCTGCATTATACCCGTTTCTTCTCTTCTATAGGTTATTTACATGTGTTTATCATAGATTAATCTGTCTGTACTTGTCGGTAGGTGGCAGCCCTGTATTCAATTATGTGCACGTGGTATGTTGACAGTATAGGTTATTGGGACTAGAATTTTTTATTGTTTTCGTAACTTGAGCTCAGCGAATCTAACAACAAATGGAAGTTTTTAAAAAAAGTGGAGGTTCTTTACCAATTTTCAGAAATTTGGCAGCAGATGACCCAGAACCAGAAACAACAGAAATTGAAAGCTTGTGTGTAAACTGTGGTGAAAATGTATGTGAGTTTTCGAACTATGGTTAAGGGTGTTTGTTAAGTATTTCTGTAATTTTGTACTATAAAATTTAAAAGCAAATCTTTCGTAATATTATAATTTTCAGTATTAAGAGTTGGGTTTTATTATGAAGAAAACAGATCGAAACACTTGCCATGTATAATTGTTTTGATAAGTGTATATAGGTAACTAAGTTTTTGTGTTGTAGAAGAGTTAGATTAGAATTAGACTTTTATTTACAAGACAGGTGATTTGTTTGACGTAAGCGCAGGAGGTAGACCGTGATGAATTTTGTTGTTGTTGAGAACCTCTTTATATTTTGTGGAAATGCAACCTTCTGATTGTGTATATTTCTTTTCAGGGTATCACAAGATTATTGCTTACAAAAATACCATTCTATAAAGAGGTTGTACTGATGTCATTTGAATGTGAACATTGTGATTTTAAAAACAATGAAATCCAACGAGGAGGAAAAGTGGGAGAGAAAGGAGTTCGCATAACAGTACATGTTCAGTCAGAACGTGATTTAAACAGACAGGTTGTGAAATCTGACTATACTTCTGTTAAAATTGTGGAACTGGATTTTGAAATTCCTGCACAATCTCAAAAAGGAGGTAGGTACTATATGTTACTTTGGTTTACTTTCGTGTCTTTATTTATATAGAATATTTACTATCATATTTAAGCACTTTAACTTCTGTATTAAGAATGCATTTAAAATCTAAAGATTTTTTTAATTGCAAGAAGCATGTATGCATAAAACAATGTCTTAATAAGCATCAGACATCAACATGATCTGTTTCTGTGATTCTAGTCATAAATGTGTGGGGTATGAGTTGTGTAATATTTTTATCTAGAAATAAGTACCTCTGTTAAATGAACATGTAACTTAAATGTACAAATATTCAGGCACATTGGGATTCTGTTACAAGCAAGTTATATTGTATGGAGTCTTAAGTTCACACTTACCATATTTCTGAGTATTTGAGATTTTCCAGAGATTACAACAGTTGAGGGAGTAATAGATCGTGCTATCTCTGGTCTTCAGCAAGATCAGCCGTTAAGAAGGATAGAAGATCCTACTACTGCTGCACAAATTGATGAATTCCTAACCAAATTACTGAAGTTAAAATCTGTTCAAAGTCCATTTACGATGGTATGTATTTATTTTAATTAAAATATAGAGTATGCCAGTTTAAGTTCATGATTTAACATGCCAGTGAATGTGTATAAAAGGGGAAATACATATTACAGTATTTGGAACCTGCATATTGTTTGCATGACTTCTTCTGTTATCAGTTAGAGGAACGATTCTGCAAATTGAACTGTACTAAAATGCCAAATAAGGTATATTAAGATAGTATTTCCGTTTTATTCAAGTTTTCTGAGTTAAAATTCAGGCATTTTGAAGATTTGTTTTATTTTTTTAATTTTTCTAGTTATTATTATTATAATTATTATTATTTATTTTTTAGAACCTAAGTAGTGTGTAAGTGGACAAGTGGATTACCTGTTGTTCAGTGGAACTTGCATTGTTAAGGTTACTGCTTCCTGAATGTGCAACAGTTATGAAAAACAAATCTTTGTCATGAATGAACTGCACTGCTTCAGTCACAAAAGTGACTAGCATGGCCAAGGTCCATACCTGTCCTGGGGCCTGTTTAGCCTCATAATCAATACATACCTAAGAATCTGATCTCTCATCTTCAACATGTGCAAAGTGGAGCTATATCTGCATGTCCCCATACGTCTTTATGGTAAAGCTGTCCCACTATACGCCATGTAGGCGCTTGGGGAGAGAGGCGGTATAGCTCCTACTCATTCTTGACCTCGGCACTAGATGGGGGTGAGTGGTCAGCATGATGCCCTGACCGTGCTTTACGTACAAGGACCCCTGTACCCACTGGTTAGAGGCTGGGTGGGCCCCAGAGCCAGTCTGGACTACATCTTTATGGTACTGTGCTTAAACAGGGACAAAGTCACCTTTTATTTTTTATGGGAAATTCTGAAATAGACATATTATTTTACACAGACATGTTTATTAGTCTCACAACAATAAAATTTCAAGGGATCTGTTCTACCTAGACTGCTTTGTTGGGCATGCATTGTTGAGGTTCCCAATTTGAATCTCAGCCACGAACCAGCTGTGCTGATTGATAAATTATAGTGGTTGTTGTCTGTCTCTTTAGTCAAATTCTGGGATAATTCTTAACCTTCTTCAATTGTGCGTTGCAGTTTATGTTCTGCCCAGCAAGCTGTGTTTACATTAGTATACCACTAAGCTTTTAATCCCTGAGCCAGCCAGCCACCCTGTAACACAGAGGTTTAAACCTTGTGGGTGGCCAAACACACCCAGAGAGGTTGAGGCTTTCAGGAGGGAGGCAAAGCTATCAGGAGGAAGGTCTCAAAGTGAGGCATGTCAAAGTGGAAAGCCCTGCTGGAGTGAAATCTGGAGTTGAGACCACCAGCAGAAGGAAGCTTTGTATTGTAAACCCCTGGGTTCACTTTTCTCCTGGGGGTTGTCTTGTTCCTAGACTGAGAAATGGGACAGATAGGCCCAGAAGTTGTTCTTTACTCACACTAGAGTATGAAAAATACCTAATAGTTGAATAAGCAAGCTTTACCAAAGAATGAATGAATATTAAGTTTACTGAATATTTTTTTTATTGGAAAATGGTTTATATTGAGTACTGAATATTTTTTATTGGAAAATGGTTTATATTGATGTCTGAATTGATTTTTATAGATGATTTTTGCTGATTGGACAGGTATTTGAAGATATCAGTGGGAATTGTTTTATAGAGAATCCTTGTGCTCCTTTAAAGGATCCTAGAACTGAAGTGGTGAGATTTGCTCGTAACGTTGATCAGGACCATATTTTAGGAATTTATACATCCACTGAAATTGGTGTTCAGCCTCAGTCAGACTTAGGTCTGTTGAAGAAGATTGAAGCAGGAGATTTTGTGTTAGAAGATCTCCATGGTGAAGTGTTACACTTTCCAACACAATGTCCAGACTGTGGAACAAATTGCCAAACTAATATGAAAGTTACAAGTATCCTTTATGATTTTCAACAGGAATTAAAGAGGAAGATTGTCTTATTAACCATTATCATACTTGCGTTATGGCTTACATATGGTCTGGCTGGTCATGTGTCACGGCAGGATGGTGCTAAACCATTAAACATGAAATAATGTCCTGCTGGTAGGTCTGTGGTACTGCCAATTAAATTCTCTTGTACTGTACATTAAAGGCTGATAAATATAAGGTTAACATATTCAATATACAGTAGCCTGTTGAAAAGAGGGCGAGAAAGTAGGCATAGGAGAATAAACTGAATCTGACGTTAAATTAAATTTTTCAAAATCTCAAACTTGCTAACTCATGTTGTATACTCCATGAAAATTGATAATATCTGTGAAATGGTGATGTCAGGGAAGCCAAGTGGCTTGTGCAGTGCTTCATAAGGAGTCACACATTAAGAATGACAGGTGCTATGAAGTTCTGTGACATTGATGCAACATCCGTTTGTTAACTTGACATGGGATGATCTGTGATAAACCACTGAAGGTTCATGGTTATGTAGCCATTTATGGATTTCATCATCACCGTTGCATATTTTCTGGGGTGGTACAGAAGGAACAAAAAATGGAACCAAAGAGAATATTGTCTCATCTAATAAAATGAAATAAATATACATTTTGAACTGTTAAGAGAAATGACCTTTCTAGTAAGAGCTTTGTTGAGTATTATGTACTAACTGAGAGATATTCAGACTTCTTTTAATTCATGATTTAATCTGCAGTATAATGATTCTCTAACAGTTTCAGACCTGTCACAGTGGTCTAGTTATGGTGAATATGTACATTTTCTGAGTTATATTTCATATGCACATACTGGGAACTCCCGATTATGTCTTCGCAGATTACTTGGTTTCTGGATTATCCATGTATGACTTCATGCACAGTTTTTCTTTACAAAATGTGGACATGTATGAACCAGGCCAGAGGTTCCCAAACTTTTATACCTTGCGCCCCCCTTAATACATTTCATAAATTTCATGCCCCCTTCCAGAACAAGTGCAAGCAAACAGATTTTTCATAAAATTTAGCTATGAGTACACATTTTTTTATAATTTAGTATATATTATTCAATGCATTTAATTTAAAAACTGTAATAAAATATACGCTTTGTACCTGGATTAGTGAGATGGGACCCTAACTGTACGTAGACTTATGAGATGCTACCCAAAAGTTCAGGGAATTTGCCCATAAAAAATTGCTTATCATAATTCCTAGTTTCCACCGTCTCCTTCGAAGTAGTCCCCTTGGGCATGGAAACAGCGATCCCAGCGTTTTTTTCCCCATGATTCCATGCATCCCTGGAAGTCTTCAAGGGTGAGTGCTTTAAGCGCCTCCTGAGATTCTGCCCGGATCTCTTCAGTTGTGTCAAAACGACGGCCATCCATCCTTAAAGCGTTTGTACCACAAAAAAGTCTTACTTTGACTCATAGCATTCTCACCAAATGCTTCCACAAGCTGCGGTGGGTTTCTACAGCAGTTTTTTTTAAGCTTAAAGCAAAATTTGATGATGTTTTTCATTTTTATGTTGATGTTGGGGATTTCATTAATATTCCCTTTTCTGATATTCATGTAGGAACTCTGCAGTTTATTCATCTTTAATAAACAATATAAAATATGAATAGTATGTGTTAATGACAATAAGAGTACTTTCCTGAATAAAGTAAAACAGATATTCCTTATTTCAAAGAAGTGGTTATCATGGCTACAAACTGTGATGCGTGTGGTCACCGAAGCAATGAAGTAAAACCAGGTGGTGGAATTGGGCGAAAAGGGATACGCATTGAAGTGAAAGTTAGAAGCAGAGAAGATTTTAGTCGAGATGTTTTGAAGGTGAGTGTCTTTCTTAATCTCTGATTTAGTCTCGGTGGTTTACAAACTTTTTGGTGCTGCATAAACCTTTTGGTAATAAACTCTATTTATGGTTCCCTCAAAACAAAATATTGTGTTTTGTTAGTGCTTATTTTTAATTTATAAGCATGTATACAAAAACTTAAAATTCACCCCATGTTTAGGAAATAGATTATGTTGTAAATACTTAATGCTTGCTGGGCAGATGGGAGTTGAGGTTTGGTACAATTTTGGAAATCTTTATCCTCATATTTTCATCTACATTAGCCTCTTAGCATTTTGTTGGTATTGCTGCATATCTTGAGAGTACTATTTTGCACAGATACGTAAATGTAGACGTAAGTAGTGTTTTTACAACTACATTTGGAATGTGTGTAAACTCATCCTTTAAAGCCACCGAAAAGTTAATTGGAGGAACATTTGTGCACGTACCTTTCAAGCCTGTGTCTTGTCAAATTGCCACTTAATTCCTCATTTTGTTTTGTTAATAACCTCTTCTCTGTGAAAGGGAATATAAATTACTTAAAAGTAGCATGTCTTTAAATCCACTCACAGTCAGTGAAATTATTTGATTTTCAGTCTGAGACATGTTCTTTGGAGGTTCCAGAGCTGGAGCTAAGTGTTGGTCCATATGCTCTGGGAGGTCGCTTTACTACTGTGGAAGGTCTTTTGGTAGCTGTGAAAGAGCAACTGACGTCTCAGGCGACAATGTTTATAGACAGTGCGGATGATGAGACAAAGAATAGAGTCTCAAAATTTGTAGCTGAGTTGGACGTGTTACTGGAAGGGAATAAAGAAATTACACTTGTGCTGGATGATCCTGCAGGAAACAGCTATGTACAGGTAAAAATTAGAATGTAGAATCTAATATGGTGCAATTTGCAGCTATAATTCTAGATTTGCCTCAGACCACGTGGCCACCGTGACCGGCTCTGTCCTTATAAACATATCCTAGCATATTTTTCATGCCTGAAATTTTTTTTGGAAATTATTTTGTTATAGTCATTTCAGTACTGCTATCACATTGAATATGACTGTCTTTTGGGACGTTGGCTGCTACCGAGATTTCAGAGGTGGTAACTGCCTCCGTCATCAGGATAATAATGGTGTTACATTGTTTTGAACTCCCATCAACAGATTCTGAACTAGAGTCTTTAAAAAATATTTTCAGTTTTTGAAACATGGGGGAGTCTTATGCCAGGATGTGGTGAGTGTCCCAACACTAACATTTGATTAATGACAAGCATATTCCTTATGGAAAGAACATTGTATGAAGGCTTATCTCTTGATTTAGTATCAGTCTGACTAAACATTTAGTGTTTTATTGAATATGGTGTGGTGAATCATCCAGAGCTGGAAGACAGAATGTTTGATTGACTGTTTTTAGTGGAGGAATAAGTTCATAACGCAATCCCTCACTGAAAAGGTCAGATTTTACATGTGCTGTTTTATTTGATGTGGAAATCCCTTTACTCTTCCATTGGAGATTTTATAACATTTTGTTTTTGAGTCAGACTGAATGACCCAAATCCCTTTCTTGATAACAGTTTTCTTCCAAAAGCTCAGGTTTTGACAAAGTTCTTTTGGAAAGTGTGAACCTTTTATTTATTTCTCAGTTTTTTTTAGATTGTTGTGATATTTTGGCACCATCTTTGTGTTCATATTTTTTTTCAGAATAATTCTAGAGCAGTTTTTGTATTCATATTTTGCTCTTCTGCTAACTTTGAACAGTTAACAGGCAGTAACTTCTCACTTAATATTTTCAACATGTAAATGAGTTCTTGAAGTTGTTCAATATCTGGATCATTTGTCACCTTTAGTAAATTCTTGAAATCTCTTAACCCAGATTGCAGAATGCAATACAACTATCCATTCTGTCAAAAACATTAAAGGGACTTCACAAAAATGTAATATTTATTTTTATGATTTACATAAATTTTACAGTGAATTCAAATTAGATCGTTGTTATTGCTGTTGTATATTTACAAATATATTATTCTTGGCTTTTCAGTTCTAATGATAGGATGATGTGGGTTACCATGTTAGGAATTATGATATATCAATAAATACAGCATTACATTGGAAGTCTAGTGGGTAACGACGGCTACCTGAAGTTCTGAGACTGAACATTCTCTGCTTTCAGAGTTTCACTCCTCCTGTACCAGATTCAGGAATAACTATTATAAACTATGAGAGGACATATGCACATAATGAGGAGCTTGGCTTGAATGACATGAAGACTGAGAACTATGAGACAAATGACAACCAAATGCACTGAAACAGAAGGCAGGAAAATTAGTCCAGTCATCATGCAGATAGCCTGTTGAAATAAGATGGGAGTGGGTAAGTAATGGTTGCCTTCAGAGTGTATCTCAGTATGTACTGCTTTCACACAAACATTACGCAAAGTATGTCCTCAAATATATATATATCTCTGGAGATAGGGATTAGCGCTATCTAGTGGGCCCAACTGTGTAAGAACCTGAAGACGGAGATAGAGTCCCATCTCCGAAACGGCGTTTTACGTTTTATATTTACTAGACGATGGAAGGTCCGGAGATAGGGATTAGCGCTATCTAGTGGGCCCAACTGTGTAAGAACCTGAAGACGGAGATAGAGTCCCATCTCCGAAACGGCGTTTTACGTTTTATATTTACTAGACGATGGAAGGTCCGGAGATAGGGATTAGCGCTATCTAGTGGGCCCAACTGTGTAAGAACCTGAAGACGGAGATAGAGTCCCATCTCCGAAACGGCGTTTTACGTTTTATATTTACTAGACGATGGATAATATCCAAGAAAATTTTTATTCAATTGACTCTTCGCCATCGTCAAGAAGTTTTAGATTTGATAAACCATGAAGCTGATGTTGTGATGAATACATGAAGTCATTACAGTTTAGTGGCTGCAGAGTAATTGGGTAAGGTCTGATTTCTGGCAAGTGTTGAAGGAATATTTTCCTCCAGTACCACATGCAGAATGGCTGTGAGACCTATCTGCCTTCTAACTGTTGACTCTTAATGGGAATAAAGGTATAAAAGCATGAAAGTAGGATGTGAAACTGACCAGTTATTTCCATGTAGTGCTATATCTGTGCTCCCCCACTCATCTTCATGTTGTGTGTTTAATTAAGCACAGGAATACACTTTCTTATCATATGGTACTTAGTTAAACATGGGAAATATCTTCATGTGAAGGAAGAAACTTCCATAATGTGTAAATTCTGCTGTATGAGTCAATTTGTCAGTGGCCAAAACATCCTATAAATTCTTTGTTTCTGGGCTTCAAGATAGTAAATTATTATGTAAAATCAGGCATTGTAATTTTTGTTTCTGAAAGTTCTGTGTAAAGATATAACTGAGTTTAAGTTTTCTATGTTTTACACTACTTACATATTAGAGGCTGTTCAGATACAATGATGGTCAATGGCTGAGATTTGTGAGTATTCAGTTGAATGCCAATAATACGAGGCGCGTCCTCAAAGTAAGTTTCCCTGGGGCCATTTACAGAAACAAAACACAATTTCATGGAAATATTTATTGCAACAGATACAGCAAGTGTCCAGCTATTTTTCAACATATTCGCCACCGGAATTGAGACATTTGTCATACCGTGGGACCAACTTTTGAATCCCTGTGTCGTAGAAGTCTGCCGCCTGGGATTGGAACCACTGTGTGACAACCATCTCTGCCTCTCTGTCATTCTCAAAACGCTGACGCTGACCGGACAGGAATTTCTTGAGGTGTGGCAACGATGCTACTGTGAGAACGCGGGAAGTGCCGTTAGTGCATGCGCCATGCTACGTCATTGCTCTATCACGTACGCACAGTCGCTTCGCGCAATATAAGGTTTGCTAGCTGTGGGACGAGTGGGAAACTTACTTTGAGGACGCGCGTTGTATTAGGTAGCAGGATATTTTTTTTAAAGCAAAAGTAACAAATCAGGTCAAACAGGGATGTACAGCAAATAACATTCTACTCCAGATGTGCCACATTTTTAAAGACTATTCACCTTCTCCCCAATATATAGAAATGTCTTGATTCTTATTAAATATTCTATTTCACAAAGGTTTCAAGTTGGGAGTATGGTGCATGTTGACACAGAGTCAGCTGTTTATTTGACAATACTTTTCTGTATAAATCAGATACAAATAAAGATTATACAGTAAGGATTCTGCTGAATACATTTGTAAAGTGCTTTATTTTTGAACTACATGCATGTTTTCACAAACAAGTACAAATAATGTAATTTTAGAATACAGCTGATACATAAATATTTACATTACATATGGCATAAAAGCAAATTTCACTGAACAGATGCTAATGAATATGAGACATGTCAGTTTATGTACATTATTTTCATCCAGATGTACTTCCTCACTTAAGCCTCTTGTGGTAACGTATGTCTTTGACTTGTTGCCCTTGGTGAACTAGTGGTTAGCATTCTTGCCACTGGACCTTAGGTTCACGGGTTCAAACCCGGCCGAGGTCGATGGGTTTTTAAGGGTCATAATAATCTGTAGCACAACTTCCTTAGGAGGGGAAGTAAAGCTGGCAGTCCTATGTCGTAGATTTACAGCATGTAAAAGAACCTTATGGGCATGAACGAGATGTTTCATAAGCAAAATTCAGTGGCCATTTCTCACCCACATCTCTCCTGATTCTCTACTAGATGGCTCTAGCAGACAAAATCAGGATTGAGTAGAAATTGTGCAGACAGTGGGATGGTCACCCACTACTCATAAATGTACACTCAAAGGCTAAGAAACCTCTGAAAGGAGGTGGCCAAGACCCACACTGGCTTGTAGAGTGTGTATATTCATTCTTGTACTTCTTCTCTGATAACAGGTTCTCCATCTAATTTCTTCAGATTTGGAAGTCGTTTGCATGCTTCTGTCTTCCAGGTGGCTTCATCAAGGCTATCATACAGTGGGTTTCCTATATAATAGAGATATATATATTTACCTTTTTTTTAAAAAAATTTACAGTGGCCATTATTCTTCCTCAAAAACCACTACATTTCAGAGATGGCTCTTCTTGTGTCCTCAGGTGAACCTACAGTTAGGCCTGTTGGAAGGAGCTGTTTTTTTATTGATTGAAATTGGAAAATCATCACCATTGTCTATAACATTTAGAGATGAATATATGAATTTCATGTAAAATTTGGTCTGTTCACTAATTTCAGAATGAAGCATTATCAAGAATGTTGTGGATAATAGGGGATTTAAACTACCATACTATGGGGCTTCCAGCCGGATGTTAACCCCAGAGTTAATAGTTTAGCAGTATGCTACTATAACCTACATTGAGCTGGACCATGCATACATAAACTGTGATGCATGACAATGTCCAGAACCAAATAGGAAGAAATGTTCCATTCTGTTACAACAAACAGCTGTTTCGAAGGGATAAGTATCTGGCTAGCATAAGTAGCCTTTGGCATCATCAAATACAAGAACTTTGTAACAAATTATAGGCATTGCCACCCTAAAACTAAAATAAAATAATTTACAAACCTACAAAAAGTAGATCCTCTAAGCTTGGCAGATCTTGCAGTTTGTTAAATTCTGCCCAATCTTTGACAAGATTATTTGACATGTAAAGTACCTTCAGTTTCTTTAGAACACTAACTCCTTTTACTTTTTCAATTAAATTATATGAAATCCACAGTTCTTCCAGTGTATCACCCACACTTTCCTGCAAAGAAAGGAAATAATAATTGATCATTGCTGAAAATACAGCAAAAATTCTGCCTCGATAAGTAATGCTGTAGTCAAAGAATGTGTGCAGTGCTGCTGAAAACTGTTGTCAGAGGCAAATGCTGCCATCTGGCTATTTATTTATTTATAGTTTATTTAAGGATGCTTTTTCAGTAGCTGAGATTATATAGCATCGAAAAGAAGATAGTGGGTAATAGATTGGAAAGGATGTGGTAGGAAGGGGTCTGGTTATTAGCGTGTCACCATACTACTAACATTTGAAGGATACAAAATAAATTCTTTACAGTATGACACAATAGTGGCATATTATCATTATTTTTCTTGTTATAAAATACCTTAGAATTGTAGTGTGACTATTGTGGGAGGGGTTAATACGAGGCTCGTCCTTAAAGTAAGTTTCCCTGGGGCCGTTTACAGAAACAAAACACAATTTCATGGAAATATTTATTGCAACAGATACAGCAAGTGTCTAGCTATTTTTCAACATATTCGCCACCGGAATTGAGACATTGGTCATACCGTGGGACCAACTTTTGAATACCTGTGTCGTAGAAGTCTGCCGCCTGGGATTGGAACCACTGTGTGACAGCCATCTCCGCCTCTCTGTCATTCTCAAAACGCTGACGCTGACGCTGACCGGACAGGAATTTCTTGAGGTGTAGGAAAAGATGGAAATCACTGGGAGCGAGGTCCGGGCTGTAGGGTGGATGATTAAACACCTCCCAGCTGAACTCCTGCAGGAGACTTGCTGTCTGTCGAGCCGTGTGCGGCCTAGCGTTATCACTGACCGCACTTCACAGTCGGCGGGGGCTGGAATAAGAACCTCCATCTTCAACAGCTGCAACGATGCTACTGTGAGAACGCGGGAAGTGCCGTTAGTGCATGCGCCATGCTACGTCATTGCTCTATCACGTACGCACAGTCGCTTCGCTCAATATAAGGTTTGCTAGCTGTGGGACGAGTGGGAAACTTACTTTTGGGACGCGCCTCGTAATATTGAATTTCTGCATGACCTGATTTCTAGACCAGAATTTGCCACCTACTGTTGTCCTCTTATATCCTGAGAAATAGGATAATATAATGTTTAAAATGACCAGTCCATTTTAATATTAATAAATGCTGATGAATGAAATTATCTCAGAACATACCATACACACTTCATTTTACATGTTGTGGTTTTCTTCAGTTCCAAGGGTTTTGCCTCAGAAAATAACCTGCTACGTCTTTGTCAAAGTCTATTTTACAATTCACATTTATCTTAATACAGCTAAAATGTGGAATGTGAAGCTGTAGAAACCTATTATTTGAACTAGAACTCCTCTATATTGGTAAAGCATATGAGTAACAACAAAGTGGAATAATTACCAGACCAGAGAAAGTTTTTATGTAGTTTCTTCCCAGTGACAGAATTCTGAGATTCTTCAAACTACTAATTCCAGATATTTTTTCAATCATATTAGTTGACAGTGATAGTATCCTACAATAAAAATAAACTGTAATTAATTACAAGTATATTAATTGAATTCACAGTATGAGGGCTGTTCAGAATGTGCAAAAGTTATTAGAATCTAGTAAAATTGGCATATAGATACTTCACATGTACAGTCAGATCTGAGAATAATTAGCATTTATTTATTTTTGTGTATATAAAGTAACTCGAACAAATATGTGAGACCAACATACATAAATTTAAAATACACGTAATGTAAAGAATAATTAACAAAACGAGAACTCACATAGTGACATTTAAGGTATCTATTATCACAATCAGTGGTTGGAAAACAAAACAAAACAACTAATGCATAAACCTGATTAGAATTAATTATCAGAGACCTGAATATTTGTGTCGATGTAAGACGGGTTTCTGTTTAACATAGGTTCTTCTGGATAAAGAAAAACTTCACAGTATATAACTTGTTTTTTGAATTAAAGTGACAAATCAGATGTTCATCTTACATGTATATAGTACACTGTTATGGAGAACATAATCACTTTCAGTTTCATCTGCTCTCTCTCTCATCCCCCCCCCCTGGCCCCCTACATTTTACAGTAGTCAGAGTATTTTTATATACATTTTATCAGCAGTTGAGTTTTAATTCTTTAGATTTAGAAAGGAATGTTTGTTCTCAAGAAGTACAGTATTATTATTAAGTGTTCTGTCTTACGACAGGTCCATTGCTCTGCCCAAAAAGAGCTCTCCAGTTGTCCCTATTCTCGGCTTCTCGCTTTAATTCCTGGAACGTCATCTTCTTTCCTTGTTTAAG